ATATACATCACTTGAAGAAAGGGGATGGGGAGGGAAAAAGAAATAAGGAAACAAAAAAAGTTATGTAGTGGGTCTTGTAACCCATAGTGGTTGGTGGAGCTGCATAGGTGGAGCTGTATTGCTCTTCTGTGTTCCCAATGCCTTGCATCACTGCTGCTTACTGGCCGGAGATCAGTGTGGTGCGAACGCAGCGACAGAGCCAATCCCAGACTCCTGCATCTGCCCTGCGGTGAGATCCTGCTACCTTAACGCCATCAGTAAGCGACAGTGACACATGGCATTGGAGAGATGGGAGAGCAACACAGCCCCACAAGTGCAGCCCTGCTGAGCGCTACTGCTTATAACCACCAGCTTGAATGGAAAGTGGTCCCTCAGTTGAGTCAATGACCAATGTCCCTTGCTTTCCTAGTCTTTCCTAGATTCTAGCACAAAGGTAGAATGAAAGGTGGAAAACATTGGTGGAGAGATGCAGCCTTAGTTAACATTCGCCACCCTCTCTTACGTGAACACAGTGTGGATGAGAATCTCATAGTAATCCAGTGTCACACATTTCCTTTCTTTCTTTCTTTTTTGTCTGAAAAACCATTCCCTCCCACTCATGCATTCTTTACGCTGGCCTCCCACACAAGTTCCCCACACAATTATGACTCCTCTCCAAAAATAATAAATCTAGAAATTGGAGAGAGCATTCAGAGAATTTATACGTCTTGAGCACTATAGCCTTGAGAATCTAATAATACCCAGAACATTTATTCGAAAGTTCAGTTTGCTTAGAATTCGTGCACTTTCTACTCTAGGCCCAAGTCACACTGGGACACTTCTGAAGACATCCACTGTGAACTTTGAGCTGCCGATGGACTACGGATCCTCAAAATTCATCTTCCAGTGCCAAGTACTTTTCTTCCCACAGCCATTTCTGCTCTCCAGGAACTAGTTGTGTCTCTCAACAGCCAATGACATATTAACAGACACGTATGGAGATGTAGAACCACAAGGAAACATCTGCTTTTCTTGTACAAAGAAAAAAAAAGATGTCAAGGGAACAAGAAAGGGATTTCAGACTATAGCCATGCTATAGTGTATATATATTATTTTCTCATCAAGAGAATCACATTAGTACATATCAGTGGTTTGGAAAGTTGATAGCTTGTCTAGAGTTGCTTCTGGAATTTCTAGAGAGATTGGCAAGAAGGCCATGTTGATAGTTTCAGATAGGATGAATGATTCTCTCCAGTTTTTTTGGTTTCCCTTAACTTTCTCATTTTTCCCAGTCTTCAGTTCACCATGAAAATCAATCAGCATTTTGGTCACATTTCTTGTGCATGTTTGTTCTAAGTAATTTTTCTTAATATATCCATTTTGCAAGCAATATTCCTTACTATTATTATTATTGCTACAGGCAATTCCTCATTTATGCATGTTTGAAGCACACACGAGCTCACACATGCACATTGCCACGAACCTTCCTCTCACTCACTCACTTCCCTTCAGTCTTAGATAGTTCAATCTTAGATGGTTCATGGCCTCTACAAGTTGCTGATTCAGAAAATAAAATAAATAAACAGAGAGGTGGTGAAATAAGCTCTCCTTGTGCTTTTCCAGCAAACACACGAAAGTGAGGTGAAAGACACAATACTCGTGATAGGAGGAAAGTAACCTAAGGTCTGCAAAGCGAAATAAATAGCAAAATAAATAGAAACAAAGGATGTCATAACAGGTTTGGGCTAGGAGGGCGAATAGCTCTTAAAATAGGAATAAATTTTCTGTAGAGCATGGAAACCAGGCCTTCTTTTTTTGCCTCCCCAGTCCCCCACCCCAGGAACTACGTAACCACAGAGTTCCTGTTTACTCTATATCTTGAGGATAAAGTTTTCTGTGGTATAAGACACCTAAGACCATTAGGCACACACACACTCAAGATCTAAAGAAAGTCTATTTATTGAAGCTTCCAGGAAAAATATTGACTGGGCAGTAAAAATACTTTCCTTGATTACTCAGGCTCATATTTTAAACTTAAAATTACAGGAACCCTTTTTTAAAAAAGCAATTTATTTTTAGCCTCTATGTTTTGAGTTTTTTAATTGAAAAAAAATTGCTTATGTTTTAAACACATTTCCATTGACCTCGCAGATCAGGTTAGATTGTAGAGAGGCTCTTAATGGACCTCTCCACACACACACACACACACACACTTTCCAAATATTTCTCTCATATTGAATAAAAAGACGCATCATTTTTCAGAACCATTGCATAAGATGCGGGTGGGGAGTTTGGACCTTAGAAGTTGCTGGACTACAACTCCCATCATCCTGGACCATCTTTTACTGGGGTTGGTGGGAGTGGGACAAAAATGTCTGGAGGACTTTGAGGTTCTCCACTCCTGCTTGAGACAGTCAAAACTGACATCCATAGCTTAGTGATTGAGGTGACGTCAGGCCTGAGTCCTTGTTTCTGCAAGGCTGCCATGGAGTCCAGTTCTGACACAGGTACGAAGGAAGAAGAAGAGTTTGGATTTGATATCCTGCTTTGTCATTACCTGAAGGAGTCTCAAAGCGGCTAACATTCTCCTTTCCCTTCCTCCCCCACAACAAACACTCTGTGAGGTGAGTGGGGCTGAGAGACTTCAGAGAAGTGTGACTAGCCCAAGGTCACCCAGCAGCTGCATGTGGAGGAGCGGAGACGCGAACCCAGTTCCCCAGATTACGAGTCTACCGCTCTTAACCACTACACTACACTGGCTCTCACACAGGCTTGTAGGCAAGAGGTGTTATTGTGAACAGGCAGCAGTCAAGGTAGCTGTCCAGGAGAACAAGAACCATGAAGGCCAGAGACCGGGAACATAATCATATAGAAGGGTTGGAGGTTAAATACTGAATTGGATGGATGATGCAGAAGTGAGGGTCTGCATTGTTAATTGATGTGATTAGTTGTCCCCACAGGCATGATATACCCTTTTAAAATGTGGCTCTTTTGGGGAGAGGGGGGTATTATTGGGTTATTGCTTTTATTTTTATTTTATATACTGTGATCTTTTTATGTGAACTGCCCTAAGACCTCCAGGTATAGGGCGGTATATTAATAATAATAATAATAATAATAATAATAATAATAATTTAAAAAAAACCAAAGGTCTGTAACATTTAGGAAACAGTTGCTGCACTGCCCTTAGTGCATTGGTGCAGTTATTTTAAAAGCACTGTATTTATATCAAATGGCATTCTTTTTTGATCTTTGCAGAAATATTGGCCTTTGCTCATGCCCATTTAATCCAGCCGTGCCAAAATAAATGTGAATAGCCTTGAGAGTCTACATTGATTTAAAACCCATCTCGGTCCCTTGAGACGCCTAAGATTCCTCTCTTGCACCTAGTGGCTCAAGACATAGGAGATTTACCTTGTTCAAGAAAAGAGGTTACCCAAATTTCTGCTGTTACATGCACCACTTCCTCCTAAGTTTGGAAAACCCACTGAAATGGAATTTCAGACTTATGATGGTTTCTAACTTTTTAACCATAGGAAAACTTATTTGAAGTCAGTTTTGAGACTTTCTTTCTGAGCCCAACATATGGCAAATAAGACGAGTGGCTTTTTCTTTTTCTTTTAATAAAAACAACAACAACCATGGGACGCATAAAAATAGGCCCAATAAAAGTACTCCAAAAACCGCTTGGAAAATAGTTTTATTCTGCCGCTTTTCCTGTATGTGGCATATGCAGAATAATGTGGTCTGAAACGAGGGTTTTACTGGCATGGCTTTAAGATAACTGCATTACTCACTAGCGGCAAAGCCGCGAGACAGTTGTGTAGGTTGTTCCAAATGTAAGTGGCAAAGAAACCTTCCTAACCGCACAGTTTCCCTATCATCCATTCCCCATGGGCCTGTCATACTCAAATAACCAGTGGCTGCATTTTCATTCTCTGCTGAACAGGGTTATTGACAAGCGGGTTTGATTCTGAAACCACTTAGAGGTTCTCTTACAATCAAGCAGTATGCAAATTGTGTTAAACTAACAAACAATGAATTAAAAACACTTATTTTCCAGTAATTGTTGCTGTCTAAAAAAAAGTGTTGCCATAGTCTGACCGGTTATTTGCAGGTCTTTGGATGCAGACAATAAAGTCCTGTTATCAAGACATATGTCAAAATGCTATACAGGAGGAGGAGGAAGAAGAGCAAGAATGAGAGAGGGAGAAAGAGAGAGAAATGCTGTCTCTGCCACAACTCCCAGTGTAGTGGTTTGAGTGCTAGACTAGGACTTGGGAGACCAGGGCTCAACTCACCACTCAGCTGTAAAGGTCCTGGGCGACCTTGGCCCAGTCCATCTCAACCCTGGGGGAGTTTACCCACATCCCTACCTCTTTGGCACTTTGGTGGAATCTACACACATATAGAAAACACTGTGAAAATGCTTTTTTTTAAAAAAAAGTTTTGAAAAATATATTGAATTTGCCATAGCTCACATTTGCCATCTAGTGTCACATTTGTATATGACACTTTGCAACACGCTTGAAAGGTTTTGTTTGCAGCTGTCCTTTGTGGTGCTTGAGAATTTTATTAGTGCTAAGTCTCTTTTACCTTTTGGGGGATTTTGTAAGTGATCTGTTTGTTCTTGCTGATGCCTGCAACAGTCTCGGCTGCTTTGTGAGCAGTCCTGCTGCCCTGCAAATATCCACGCTGCACGTTCCGTGGGATGCCACTTCTGCATCACCAAATAGAGGACAAAGCATATATTTTGCAGACTTTTTTACATATGCTAACATGTGTTGGTGCAAACAATTCTATAATTTAAATAAATAAAATACATCTCACCAAGTAGGGTAGATGGCCTGTAGGCCTGCCTGCTCAGGCTGCTGTACAGATAACTCAGTTTTGGCAATGCATAAATAGATACTTTCAGTCCCTCCAGACACCCACTCTAAGGAGTCATTTCCAGGATGCTTTGGCCCCTTCTGTCTTTGCACCACTGATTAACAACAGTGTGACAGAGGCCACTGTTCTGAGGGATAGCTTAGTTGGTAGAGCATGAGATGCTTAATCACAGGTTCATGGGTTCAAGCCCCACGCTGGCCAAAATATTTCTGCATTGCAAGGGGATGGGTTGAACTAGTTGACTCTTATGGTATCTTCCAACTCTACAATCCTATGATTCTTTTTTTAAAAATACAGTGGACGCTCAGGTTGCGAATGTGATGCATGCGGGATGCACGTTTGCAACCCGCAGCGTTCGCAATCCGCTGCGGCGCATCTGCGCACGCATGGGTTGCAATTTGGCGCTTCTGTGCATGCACAAAGCACGATTTAGCTCTTCTGCGCATGCGTGACCGCCAAAACCTGGAAGTAACCCGAAAAAACGCAACCTGAAGTGGCTGTAACCCGAGGTATGACTGTACAGTGGTACCTCGGGTTACATACGCTTCAGGTTACACACTCTTCTAACTCAGAAATAGTGCTTCAGGTTAAGAACTTTGCTTCAGGATAAGATCAGAAATCGGGCTCCGGCAGCGCAGCAGCAGCAGGAGGCCCCATTAGCTAAATGGTGCTTCAGGTTAAGAACAGTTTCAGGTTAAGACCGGACCTCCGGAACGAATTAAGTACTTAACCCGAGGTACCACTGTATATGGAAAGAAAGTGATAAAGGATTAAAGAACTGGTTGCAGTTTGGGTAGGGGTGCAGCCCAAACTGACCAACAATTTATTTATTTTATTATTTTCATTTCTATCCCACTTCTTTCTCTGACCTCAAGGTGACGTACATGGTTCCCTTCCTCCTCAACTGATCGCCATGACAACCCTGTGAGGTAGGTTAGGCTGAGAGGCAGTGACTGGCTCAGGGTCACCCAATGAGCTTCATAGCTGAGTGGGGATTTGAACCCTGGTCTCCCTGGTCCTGGTCTGACACTCTAATCATGAGACCACACTGGCTTGCTGGCTCTTGGGAACACAGGGCCCAAGCATGATTTTTAGGCACACAGAACAGACATGTAACATGGGCTGCGTCTCACACACATGCCACGACCCCAACCTATATAATACCATGGTTTAATTCTGATATTACATTTTCTGAAATTACACCTTGCCCCACAAGGCAGCTTTCCTACCAGGCTCCCTCTTCATTCCCCCCTATTTTTGTTTAGCATAACATCAGTCCCAGAGGAGAGTCCCACAAAGCTAATAAATACCTAATACTTAATAAAACTATTATCCTGTCAGTGATTTGATTTTTTTTTTATATTCTAATGGGACAATGTGGCTGAAAATATTCTACTTGAAAGCTTCGTTTTCCTGGCCTTTTTCATTACAAAATCATGAATCATCTCCCCAAAGTCAATTTCTCATGCAAGTTCACATTCAATGGACAAAATAGCTCAGTGGCTTAACCATTCTTGCTCCATAGCAGAATGGCTGCTGTTTCAGATGTGTGTTGGTTTGCTGAAACTTCTTTCTGCTTCTTCCATGGCCACTGGAAGTGTGCAAAATAATATGCAAATCAATGCACGTCACTGAAAATTACATTTTGTTTTGTCAAACTCGTTTAATCAGGTAGGTGGGGGTAATTTTGTACTCTTTTTCCAAATGTGCATTTAAATATATATTTTTAAGGATGCGATATCTCACAAGGGTAGTACTAAATGTCTTGTGACGTAGATATTTAGAAGTTCCTTCCATTTCCCCTGGTGTCACATATTTTAGGAGTGATCAGAATGTAAAATTAATGTTGCTTTGAGTCTGTGTTATAATTAACAGATAACATGGCTCAACATTTTTGTTCCCTTTGGGTAACCTCCTTATGTTTCAGGGTGCCTCAATTGTATTCATAGCCAGAATGGCAGTAGACATTTGCTTGCCATATATTTTGGACCTACAAACAGGGCCAGATTAAGACCTTTAGAGGCCTGAAGCACTTAAAAGACTTTGGTGCCCCCTTATATATCTAATTCAAAATATGCCGCTTGTTCCTCTCTTGGTGCGCCGGGCACTGGCGATGAAGAGACTCCCTCCACTGCCAGCGCCTGGTGTATGGAGGAATGAGCTTCATCAACCCTGGCCTCACAAGGCACCAGGATGAAACCATCGCTGTTCCCACAGAGGAAACTGAGTCAGTTTCGCCCTAGCGCTTTGTGGGGCCGGGTCTCATGCAGCTTGTTTCTCTCTCCATTTTGCAGCATTGTAATGCATCACTATATTGTGATGTTTGGCTGTTGATACATCGTGATGTTGAAAAGCTGGTACTGCCCAACCCTGTTCTGTAGCACTGGCTGCCTCTGTCCTTGGGATCAATGTCCTTGCTTTGTCCCTTCCACCAGATGTTGCTTCCTCCTGCTTCCATCCCACAAACCCTGATACAGTGGTACCTCGGGTTAAGTACTTAATTTGTTCCAGAAGTCCGTTCTTAACCTGAAACTGTTCTTAACCTGAAGCACCACTTTAGCTAATGGGGCCGCCGGAGCACGATTTCTGTTCTCATCCTGAAGCAAAGTTCTTAACCTGAAGCACTATTTCTGGGTTAGTGGAGTCTGTAACCTGAAGCGTATGTAACCTGAAGTGTATGTAACCCGAGATACCACTGTACTAGTAGTTCTTGAGCTTGTGTCACGTAGGGAAGCACAACTCTCCCTGCCTCTTAAACTACCCTCAAGCATGACTTTCTATGCTTCTGCCACCGTGGTACCTGGACCGGGTCTCTCTGGCTCTCCAGTAAAGTATACCCTTCCCTCATATCCCAGGGATTGGTGGGAGTGGCTACAATGCCGCTTTAATGAATTTTAATGAACCACAAACTTTCCTGGGTGGGAGGGGATGGAAATTGGGGCAGACTGAAGGGCACCAGGTATGGGAGCTCTGTAGAGAAATTGTCGTGGTTTCTCAGTACTTGGAGTGTATTAGGCCTTCTGAAGGAAAACCCCCCGATTATCAAACGCAATATTCGCACAAGGCTTCATGCCCTTTGGTCTGATGTTTCAGTGTATACAAGGTTTCAGTGTTCCTTAATAAATTACCTCTTCTTGTACCAATTAAATCCCATCTACGAAGATTTGGTGTCTACTTGGCCCCGTGCCAATGCTAACAGCTTTGGCTTAACGTTCTGTTTAATGGGATACCGTTGCGCTGAGAGCGGTAGCGGCAGAAAATCTTAACACTTAAGCATCTTCTGTGCTCCTTTGAACGGCAGACTACATTTCAATATAAACAGCATTTTCATTCTTCCAATCCCGTTATTTACTTAGAATTCCACAGGACTCGTGAAAATGCTGCCGTTAAGTGGCTTCTGTTGATTTATTAACTCCCCTCAAAAAAAGCCTGATGGAGGTCGCTCTTGCAAAACATTAAAGGCATTCTGCTCCTTCAAGGCAGTGCCAGCAGAATAAGAGCATCCATATATTTTAGGGAGGCAAAGAAGCTTTAGCAATGCACAAGTCAATGCTGGTGTCTGTCTACTGTGCAGTTCTGTTTTTTAAAAGAGAAAATCCCATAATGGTTTGTGTTCAGTGAGAGAACCAGAATTACCGAAAAGCCAGTAAATCCCAATTTCTGCTGCTTACCCATGACCTTCTAAGATAAACCCAGAACTTTCCAGTCTCCATGCTACCATGTTTTCCCCCCCTTTCCATTTGGATAAGGGTCATAGCTCAGAGGTAGACACATTTCGGCCCTATCTGGAGATGCTGCAGAATGATATTGGGACTATCTGCAAGCAAAGTGGATGCTCTCCCACTTTTGGGACAGGGCTCTCCTCCTTTTTGAATTAGAATTCCACCCCGATGCCATTTCCCTCCATTCGCTTTGCATTCCTATTTCACACCTAGACCCCACTGAACTTCAAAGGACCGACAGGTGTATGGTTTGGCCCCAAATGGCCTTTAGGGTCCCACATGCTATAGATTCCCCATCACCGCCCTGTACCATCTCTTCTAACCATTCTAATGTATGAATAAGATGTGGTAATTTAAAACATGAAGTTGTTGTTGTTTAGTCGTTTAGTTGAGTCCGACTCTTTGTGACCCCATGGACCAGAGTACGCCAGGCACTCCTGTCTTCCACTACCTCCCACAGTTTGGTCAAACTCATGTTGGTAGCTTTGAGAACACTATCCAACCATCTCATCCTCTGTCGTCCCCTTCTCCTTGTGCCCTCCATCTTTCCCAACATCAGGGTCTTTCCCAGGGAGTCTTCTCATGAGGTGGCCAAAGTATTGGAGTCTCAGCTTCAGGATCTGTCCTTCCAGTGAGCACTCAGGGCTGATTTCCTTCAGAATGGATAGGTTTGATCTTCTTGCAGTCCATGGGACTCTCAAGAGTCTCCTCCAGCACCATAATTCAAAAGCATCAATTCTTCGGCGATCAGCCTTCTTTAATGTCTAGCTCTCACTTCCATACATCACTACTGGGAAAACCATAGCTTTAACTATATGGACCTTTGCCCTCGAATAAATATATTGGAAGCCTTTACATCAATTTGTCGCACTTGTACAAGTTTCTTCCAAGAAACTTTGGGTAGGTTATGGGGGCAACACTGTTTGTGTGCCTTTAAAGACCCTATCCCTTTACTTAAAGATGCTGTTTCTTTCTACTGCTCACATTACAGGGGAGCTGGAACAGGAGTAGCCCAAGATTATGTCTCACCTGGACCCCAGGTTACCTCTTTGTGGTCCTGCTCTTTAAAACCAGCTCTGTGTGTGCTTGTGCTTGTAGCAAAAAAAAAAGGGGGGGGAAGGTTCTGGCCTCCAACTCTTTTGGGCAGCTTCCTGGAAAAATCTGGTTGGCTATTACTGCATGGTTGAACTAGATGGAGCTTTTATCTGATCCAGCAGGGCCCTTGCTATCTTCTTGTGGGAGGGCAGCAAACTCTGCATATGGGATGTCAGTTGATTGACATTGCCAAAACATCACCTTTTTTGCTAGGGCACCCACACCCAAGGCTGCAAATTTCATCAGTATAAAATCTGCAGTCCTGTGAAGTAAAAAACGGAGAGTCAGCAAAGGTCTTTGGAGTGACAGACACGGCTTCTCCCCTTCCCTCTTCCTTCAAGTAGCTCAGCAAGTATTCAGTGTTGTTATCTCTCCCGCTGTAGG